CTTCCCATATCATCCCACGTCAATGTATTCAAGTCTATTATGCTTCGGCCTCAAAGAAGCATATATCCACCTTAACTCTCTCTTAGGCCCTCATCTGCTGCACTCCTAACAATTCTTGTTTCCCATTGTTTTCCCCAGAACTTGGTGTAAGGCCTGGGATACAAGATGTTTGTTCACTGACTGGATAATGAACAGATAAGGTAACAGATGTCACTGGAAAATGATCTTTTGTGCTAAAATATATCATTAAACATTAACAGTTTCAAGTGCCAAATTCTGTATTATGGCTTACACAGATAATGTAACCTGTTAATACCAAAAGGTTAACAGAATGGCCCAAAAGAATGCCTCATTTGGTTAAGAATCTCACATATGTTGTAAAATATACACAAAATGAAATGTATACTCAGATATTTATTTACTGGAACTTCATTAATAATGAGCAAACAAAGATTAAGGAAGCAATATAAGGATATGCTTTTAGAAGAGGGCTGGGAAAGAGTTCTTGGCAATAGCTTAGGGGGCCGCATGATGATAATGATCACAATCATTATGCTACAGACACTGTTCTAAATGCTTTATTTAAACCTATTCACGTGATCCTAACAATCAAGGTATTGACTTCATTACTAGGAGGAAACTGAGATAGCAAGAAGCAACTAATCCAAGGGTTGCACAGTAACAGAGCTGGAATTTGAAAAAAGCAGTCTAGCTTTATTATAGCTCTGGCTTTTAACACTGCCTACCTAGTCCTTCCAGATAATCTACAAAGAACAAACTTATCATTTAAAAACTCAAGGACAAGAGAAAATACTCCCATGAACTAACGAAAAGATTAAGTAGTTTGAGAATACTAACAAACTCTTCAGCAACTATAGGTATACTAGCTGGGATATAATTTCTCAATACATTGCCCTTGCTTAATTTAAATATGCCTTAAACTTTAAGTATCACCTTTTATTTGACACAGAAAATTATCTCCTGTTCAAATTTCCTTGATTCTGCAAACTAAGGAGCATATTTCAAAATGAGCTTTGTATAAGAGTCTACATAATACCTAACCTCAGTCCAGCAAACTCTAACCAAAATTGCTTTGCCATACAAAATAAGGAATTTCTTGAGGCAATATGGTCTGAAAAATTTACTACTCCCCAAAATACTTGCAAGGCTTTGTGAAAGCAGATTAACAATTTACAAAACCACAACAAAGTTATCACTTCCATTTGTCCTGTTTATTAGGATTCTCTAATCTAGAGTTCATTTTCACACCAAAATGGGAGACACACCAAGGGCACTTGGGCAAAAATAGGAATGATAGTAGCATTTAGCACTATCATCTCTGAGAAGGACTAAAGAGACTAAAAAGTTTGTGAAATCAATGGAACCAAAAAAAGAGTACTCAACAATACAAAGTATTAATTCTTCTACAATGACTTTACTCAGAATAAAGTAACTAGAGAAATGGCTCTCTAATATAACAGATAATTAACGGAACAAAATATTAAAATTACAAACAGCTTGGAAAGTTTCTTTGTTTTGTTTTGACGGAGCTCTGTCACCAGAGCTGGAGTGCAGCAGCGCAATCTGCAACCTCTGCCTCCCGGGTTTAAGCAATTCTCTTGCCTCCGCCTCCCCAGTAGCTGGGACTACAGGTGCACACCGCCACGCCCAGCTAATTTTTTGTGTTTTTATAAGTAGAGACGGGGTTTCACCGTGTTGCCCAGACTGGTTGCAACGCCCTGAGGCTCTGGCAATCCGCCCACCGTGGCCTCTCAAAGTGCTGGGATTACAGGCATCAGCCACCGCGCATGGCCATTTTTTTTTTTTTTTTTTTTAATGGAGTCTTCCTCTGTTGCCCAGGCTGGAGTGTTGTGGTGCAATCTCGGCTCACTACAACCACTGCCTGGTGGTTCAAGCGATTCTTGTGCATCAGCCTTCCGAGGAGCTGGGATTACAGGTGTCCACCACCATGCCTGGCTAATTTTTTCTATTTTTTGTAGAGATGGGGTTTCACTATGTTAGACAGGCTGGTCTCAACTCCTGACCTCAGGTGATTTGCCCGCCTCAGCCTCCAAAAGTGCTGGATTACAGCGGTGAGCCACGTCCCCGGCCAGTTCTCTCCTACTCTTTAGCAACGACATTCACAGTAGACACCTACTACAAGGCTCCTCTGTCATTTCCACTGGCCAGAAAGAAGATAACTCAACACGTGATAGTCATGAAACATGAACTGGGAAAAACTACTCTGAAGAATATAACTGATTTTCTTTCCTTAAGCTATTACACTTCAGATCTAGCCAAGCACAGGTTTCGTTATGCTACAATTTATAAGACTAAACTAGCTAAAGAGAGAAAAAAAGTTTGTAAATAAGGTTTATGTGTCTATGTGTGTATGTGGATAGATCCCTTTAATAATTAAGAGTAATCATTTTCATGTGAACCAGGAAATATTACCAAACCATAATGAGATGCCTGGATACAATCTTGTTAGAACAGAAAAAACACCTGAGACCTTACAGTTCAGGTTCTAGCACTACCTAAGCCAGTTGACCTCAAGCAAGCCAGTTACTAATTGCTGATTGTTTCTGACCCTTAATTTTCTCCTCTGTTAAATAAGAATCTACCTATACGTTCACAGAAGTTCCTTCTAATTATAAATATTGGTTTCAATGAAATAATGAGGTTTCTTAATGTAAGTAAGGTAGGACTACTTCTAATCCTAACTATACATAAGCAATAAACTTCAGCTTTGTCTGCACTTGGAAATTCTCAAGTGATAATAAATGATGACCAAAAAGGATCAGATTTAAACTCCCAAATGCAAAACTATACTCATTTTCCAGGCACCTATTTATTAACCACGGTGATTAATTCAATGGATCATAGTATCAAACTATTCTTTGCTAACTTTACTGTGTTTAAAAGTAGGGCAAAGATCATCTCAGAAAATTATGTGATAATATTTTCAGATAATGATGCAAAGCAACAGTATTCTGCACTGACATAGCTCCAGTTCTAAGAGTAAAGTGATATTATATTTTCATTTATGTAATAATTTCATGTTTACGATCTCATTTAATCTTTGTGACAGCTGTATGCAAGAAAGTGAGCAGAATTTTTATCAACACAATCTAGACCAGCTCAGAATGTTAGGCAACCTGTCAGCCATTACTTAACAAGTGTTGGAGCCCAGACTTCAATCCAGATCTTCTGATTTAAAGTTTAATAATCACCAAAATCCTAAAAAATGGTGATTCAAGCCAAAAGCGAGAAGTTGGAGAAGTGAGCAAAACTGGATCATCAGTCCTTCAATTGAACATAAGGAATATAAGATCAGATTTGGCAGTTGTATAATCAAGAAGCAAATTTACTGAACGTTAAATTAATGATACATCTAACTATTATAACCCCATATCTCAAATCTTGTCACCTTGTTTGAAAGTCAAGTGTGAACAAATTTTCAAACTCAAAATAAGAACAACATGTAAACTGAAAAACTGATTAAACTAGCTATAGGTAAATTGCTAAAAGACATCAAAACAAGCCTCTATGTATATTGTCTTCTGGAATGTGACTGAAGGAAATTAAACTGTATTAATCAATTGTAATCAAGTAGGACATATCCCTGAAAGGAAAAAAATAACCTTCAGTGCTTTAAGATAATGTAGGCAAAGTAGTAAAATATAAAATTTCTACTTGAGAGAGTCATTTCATACCTATACAAATCAGTCACATTTGTCTAGGTACCACCATGCCTCTTCACAGTAAAAACATAAGCTACAATGCATACAATGATGCCTAGTAAATACGTTTCTTCCTTTCATCATCTATGCTAAGAATACACAACTAAAATCAGAGCTAATGACAATATAATTAATAGGTAGTAGCAACTGGAATATTCAATTCTCTATCATGACAACACTAGAAACACTTGTACAAGCTTCTCCAAATTATCAATGCAATCTGTCCACAAAATCTCTGACAAGACCCAAAGGAGAAATGAAAGACGTTAAAATTAGGATAAGGAGTTATGCTGCCAAAACACGTCAACCGTGGCCAGTCTACACGTATTACTAGATTTTTGCATGGAGCTGCAGGTAAATAAAAGATGACTGTGTAAAATCTTCTGGAGGTCAGAAGTAATCTAGCAGTGTGACACAGGGCCACATATGGTTTCTGGAATTTTAGAGATTAAGTCGACCTTTACGTTTTACTGCAATACCAACACTGTAATAAAATACAGGGGTCGGGGGTCAGGGGTTTGGAAAGGCAGACAACTCTTTTTTCATGAAAGCAGTGCAAGATCTGAGAAGTTCCTCTCCAAAGGCTCTGCGGAGCGAAGGCCCATTCCCTTGGCTACCCTGCACCACCAGCGCTTTAGATGGCATTTGCAAGCCTGGATTTTGTTTAGGGGCGAATACATCTAACATCATGCGCTAGAGGTTTGGGAGAGCAAAAACCAAACTGACAGATCCTGAGAAACAGCTCAGTCATCAGCAGGGAAGATCTTTTCCACTTACTACAAGGTCCTGGACATCCCGGGACTAGGAGGTTCTCTAAAGAAGCCTAGTAAGGTTTCCAAGTCCGCAGAGAGGAGAACGAACAGTCGGGACTCCGGTGTCTGGGTTCAATGTCTGGGTGACCAACCATGAGGAGGTGTCCCAAATAACCTGGCTACCACCAGGGTGAGACATCCAGAGTCAGCAGCGTCCTGTAACACTGCTGGAAGTCGGAATCACAGTGCCCCAGATCCGTAATTCCTAAGCAGGAGAGCTCCGGAAGAAGCCAAGCTCTGAGGATAGCCACAAGCTTCGGTCCCCATTTCCCCGAGTTAGTTTACCTACCCGCTCCGACCCCGGCTTCTCCGGATCCTGGAAGCGGCTCCTGACCGACTCTCACACCCGTCGCTGGGCTCCGGCCAACCGGAAGCCTGTACGTCACTTCCGGTCCGGTCCCCCCCACTTTGCTCCCGGAGACCGCCTCCAGAAGAGAAAAGTTCCTCCCTCCTTTTGGCGAGCTCCTTTGATCCTCGCGGGATTTCAGTTCGGCTCTTAGTGCGGGCCCTGTGGGTGTGACAAGAGGAAGAATGACTGGTCGCTTTGTGATTCTTGTTCCGGAACTTGTTACCCAGGGACCCCGGAAGAGGTAGCTCGGGCGATAGAAACGTGTTCGCTGCCCAGAAGAAGGGAAGGCGCGAGTGAGGAAAGGAGGTACTGTAGGTAGGTCGGCTCCTTACAGGGCGAAGGAAACCAGTATCATTATCCATTCTCTTTACAGTTGGAACGTTTCTTTTCACCTCATTTTATTACCCACCTTCTTCATTTTCTCCTTTATAAACTGTCTTCCGTCCAAGGGCCGCTGAGCCCCTCTGTCCCTGTTCTGCAAACCGTCCTATGGAAGAAAGGAGCAGGCTGCTGGGGAGGGAAGGACTCAGAATTTCTAGTTCCCAGCAAAGCCTCCACGCAGGCAGTATCGATGCGCCGTCTCCGAGATTGATGACATGGCGAGCAGGCCTCACACCCTCAGCTGGGCACTTATGAATACCCCCAGCGTTTCAAGCTGTCGAGTTCTACGTGGAAAGAAAAGGTTTCTAAGAATGTAATCGAAAATTTGGGGCTGGGCGCGGAGGCTGACGCCTGTAATCCCAGCACTTTGGGAGGCGGATGTGAGCGGGTCACCTGAGGTCAGGGGTTCGAGACCAGCCTGGCCAACATGGCGAAAACCCATCTCTACTAAAAATACAAAAATTAGCCGGGCGAGGTGGCCCGTGCCTGTAATCCCAGCCACTCGGGAGGCCGAGGCAGGAGAATCGCTTGAATTTGGGAGGCGGAGGTTACAGTGAGCCGAGATGGGGCCAGTGCACTCCAGTCTGGGGGACAGAATGAAACTTCATCTCTGAAAAAGAAAAGAAAAGAAAATTTTGGTCTCTTTATCACACAAAGAGATTGCCTAGAGAGGTACTTAATCCTTACTAATATACCCCAGGCACTGTACTAGACTCTGGGAATATGCTATACAGGGAAAGTGAGGCAGTGGCTTAAGGGTCAGAGATTTGGGAATTTTTTTTTTTTTTTTTTTTTTTAAGGTTGGAAACGGCATACCGGATGCAGTGGCTCATGCCTGTAATCCCAGCACTTTGGGATGCCGAGACAGGATTACTTGAGCCCAGAAGTTTGAGACCAGTGTGGGCCACATAGTGAGACCCCTGTGTCTTAAAAGGAAGGAAGGAAAGAAATAGGATTAACAGGTGGAGTAATGGGATCAAGAGCACTACTGAGATGAGTTTACTCAGGGGAATTAGAAGGCACCAAGAGGAAGATTTTATAGGATGTACTTACTTTATTGTGCTGTCATTGCCCAGAATTATTTATGAGACAAAGAATGGTTGTTTTACCTTAGCCTCAAGCACTGGGCTCATTGATATGCTTATAGTAAGTGTACAGAAAAGAGGCAGACATTCTTTTAGAGGAATTAGATGATAAATCTGATCAGGTTAATATGGGATTAGAAAGAACAAAAATATATGTTAATTTTAGCATTTTTTTTTGAGATGGCTCTTGCTCTGTTGCGCAGGCTAGAGTGCAGTGGCATAAAATCTCGGCTCAATGCAACCTCCACCTCCTGGGTCAAGCTATTCTCCTGCCTCAGCCTCCCAAGTAGCTGGGATTACAGGCGCCCACCACCAAGCCTGGCTAATTTTTATATTTTTAGTAGAGACGGGGTTTCACTATCTTGGCCAGGCTGGTCTCGAACTCCTGACCTCATGATCCACCTGCCTCAGCCTCCCAAAGTGCTGGGATTACAGGTGTGAGTCACCACACCCGGCCAGTTTTAGCATTTTTATGATTAGACACTCCATTGAGATATGGGACATAAGCAATAAATAAACTTGGTAATATTTGGAACTTTCACTGTTCTCTGTTTTTGATCTTATTGGTGTATGTTTTTTTTGGAGACAGGGTCTTTCGTCGTTGCCCAGCCTGGAGTGCAGTGGCACAATCATGGCTCACTGCAACCTCCGCCTCCCAGCCCGAGATGTCCTCCCACCTCAGCTGGGAGTATGGTCATGTGCCAACACATCTGGCTAATTATTTAAATTTTTTTATAGAGACAAGGTCTCACTGTGTTGCCCAGTTTGGTCTCAAACTGGGCTTCAGAGATGCTGTTGCCTCTACCTCAAGCAACTCCTTGAGGTCAGGAGTTCCAGATCGGTCTGGACAACATAGGAAGACCAAGTCCATAAAAAAATAAAAAATTTAAAAAACAATTAGCAGCGTGTGATGGCATGTGCCTGTAGTCCCAGCTACTTGGAAGGCTGAGGTGGGAGAATGGCTTGAGCCCAGGAGTTTGAGGCTGTAGTGAGCTATGATGATGCCACTGCGCTCTAGCCTGGGTGACGGAGGGAGACCCCTTCTCTTTATTTTTTTATTATTTATTTTTTTAAGAGACGGGGTTTCACCATGTTGGCCAGGCTGGTCTTGAACTCCTGACCTCGTGATCCACCTCAGCCTCCCAAAGTGCTGGGATTACAGACGTGAGCCACCGCACCCGGCTGACCCCTTCTCTTTAGAAAAAAAAAATAAAAAAAGAAAAAAAAAAGGGCAGCTTCTCTGTTTGAGCCTCATGTTTCTCATCTTTAAAATTAGGCTGATATGTCTTCCTTTTTATGTATTCATAGCAACGATAAACGAGGTAATGGATAATATAAAGGATTTAGTATGTTATCCAGCACATAATACCTTCTCTGTATAGAGCAGTTCCTTCTCCAGATAGTACCTGAAGCTAGTATGTGGGATATTTGGTTACTTTGCAACCTAGAGATTATTTCAGAGAATCCTAATTGTTAATATAGAGGTTAATATACCTTTTTAGAAATAATTGAGTATTTGTTCAGTTTGGAGTCTGGTTGTTAGATTATCAAAGAAAAGTCCTGCTGTTATGTAAGCATTAAATAGAAACTTGGCCAGGCGTGGTGGCTCATGCCTGTAAATCCCAGCACTTTGGGAGGCTGAGGTGGGCGGATCACTTGAAGTCAGGAGTTCGAGACCAGCCTGGCCAACATGGCGAAAACCCGTCTCTACTAAAAATACAAAAATTAGCTGGGTGTAATGGCATGTGCATGTAATCTCAGCTACTTGAGAACCTGAGGCAGGAGAATCTCTTGAACCTGGAGGCAGAGGTTGCAGTGACCTGAGATGGCACCACTGCACCTCCAGCTTGGGTGATAGAGTGAGATGCCATCTCAAAAAAACAAAAAACAAACAAAAAAAAAACGGCTGGGTGCAGTGGCTGGCTCACGCCTGTAATCCCAGCACTTTGGGAGGCCAAGATGGGTGGATCACAAGGTCAGGAGTTCGAGACCAGCCTGGCCAACATGGTGAAACCCCATCTGTACTAAAGATGCAAAAAAAGAAGTAGTGGGGCATGATGGCTTGGACCTGTAATCCCAGCTACTTGGGAGGCCAAGGCAGGGAAATTGCTTGAACCAGGGAGGTGGAGGTTGCAGCGAGCTGAGATCACATCACTGCACGCCAGCCTGGGTGATGGAGTAAGACTCCGTCTCAAAAAACAAAAACGGAGATAATGTGGGTTTTCAAAACTTTTTCTATTAGGAACTCCCTCTGTTGCTTTGTCTTTTTTGGGGGTTGGGGTCTGTAAAGGCGCTAGAACCATAGAGTACTATGTCTGTGCAGCCCTGTCACCATATTTAGGCACTTGAGCAGGAGAGTACTCAAACTAGATGCTCTACAGCTTACCCTATGTGACCCGCGTACTTCTGGCCACTCCATATCAGCCTCCTTTGATTCCTAATGTTCATTTCCTCAGGATTATGTTTTAGTTCTTTATTCTACATACTTGTCCAAGTGGCCTCATACTCTTTCATATTTTCAGTAACTTTACATGCTAAGGTGTCTCAAATCTATATTTCCAGCCCAGACCTTTCTGACTTTAAACTGCTGTGTCCTAGGCCTTTCTCTCCTTTAAGCTGATATATCCTTTTTTTTCCTTCTTCTTTCTAGGTATCTCTGAGATGTCTTTTGTTCAAAACAAAACTAATTCATTATCTTTTCCATTCAAACTTGGCATTTCACCAAAATTCTCCATTTGTTCAAATCTAGGTGTCATTCTTCTCCCTTTCCTTTATCACCAGACTTCCCATCAGTCACTAAATCAGACAGGTATGCCTTAGCCACTGTTTTTCTTTCCCATTCTCACTACTGTTGTCTAAATGATCATCATCTCATCTGGACTGTTGGGAGAGGCATAATATAGTAATGTGAAGAACAAGGGTGGCTGGGTGTGGTGGCTCACGCTTGTAATCCCAGCACTTTGGGAGGCCGAGGCGGGCGGATCACAAGGTCAGGAGATCGAGACCATCCTGGCTAACACAGTGAAACGGTGTCTCCACTAAAAATACTAAAACAAAACAAAACAAAACAAAAAAAATTAGACGGGTGTGGTAGCATGCGCCTGTAGTCCCAGCTACTCGGGAGGCTGAGGCTGGAGAATTGCTTGAACCCAGGAGGCGAAGGTTGCAGTGAGCCAAGATGACGCCACTGCACTCCAGCCTGGGCAACAAAGCGAGACTACATCTCCAAAAAAAAAAAAAAAAAGAACAAGAGCTTGACAGGGTATGGTGGCTTGGCTCGTGCCTATAATCCCAGCACTTTGGGAGGCTGAGACAGGTGGATCCCCTGAGGTCAGGAGTTTGAGACCAGCCTGGCAGGCATGGTGAAAGCCCATCTGTACTAAAAATACAGAAAATTAGCCAGGCATGGTGGCAGGTGCCTATAATCTCAGCTGTTTGGGAGGCAGAGGCAGGAGAATGGCTCTAACCTGTGAGGCGGAGGTTGCTGTGATTGAGCCGTTGCACATAGCCTGGGCAAAAAGATCAAAACACCATCTAAAAAAAAAAAAAAAAAAGATGGGGGTTGGCACTCTGGATTAAGATGGCTGCTTATGAGCTGGGTGAATTTAGACAAGCTATAACTTTTGTACCTCCATTTTCCATATCTGAAAAATGGGGTTCATAATTATGTACAGATGCTTCTCAATTTGGGGTGGGGTTATATCCGGATAAAGCCATCACAAATTGAAAATACCATAAATTGAGGGCCACACACAGTGACTCATGCCTGTAATTCCAGCTACCTGGGAGGCTGAGGTAACCAAAGTTCAAGACCAGCCTGCAACATAATGAAACTCCTGTCTCAAAAAAGTTTTTTTAATAAGCTGGGTGGGCCGGGCGCGGTGGCTCAAGCCTGTAATCCCAGCACTTTGGGAGGCCGAGGCGGGTGGATCACGAGGTCAAGAGATCGAGACCATCCTGGTCAACATGGTGAAATCCCGTCTCTACTGAAAATACAAAAATTAGCTGGGCATGGTGGCGCGTGCCTGTAATCCCAGCTACTCAGGAGGCTGAGGCAGGAGAATTGCCTGAACCCAGGAGGCGGAGGTTGCGGTGAGCCGAGATCACGCCATTGCACTCCAGCCTGGGTAACAAGAGCGAAACTCCGTCCCAAAAAACAAAAACAACAACAAAAAAATAAGCTGGGTATGGTGGTGTGTGCTTACAATTCCAGCTACTGGGGAGGTTGAGGTGGAAAGATTGCTTAAGCTCAGGAGTTTGAGGCTGCAGTGAGCTATGATCACACCACTGTACTCCCACCTGTGCAAAAGAGTAAGTTGGAAATAAATTTAATACACCTACCCTACCAAACATCATAGCTTAGCCTAGCCTACCTTAAACATGCTCAGAACAATTTATTAGTGTACAGTAGGGCAAAATCATCAAATATAAGGCCTACAAGTGTTGAATATCTCATGTAATTCATTGAATACTGTACTGAAGGTGAAAAACAATGTTTGTATGGGTACTTAAAGTTTCTACTGAATGTGTATTGCTTTTGAACCATTGTAAAGCCAAAAAACTTAAGCGAACCTACATTAAGTCCATGACCAATGTTATTAACCTTGAAGTGCTGTTGGGAGCATTAAAAAAGACAATTCCTATAGTGTTTAGCCAGTGTATAGCAAAACTTCATAAATGTTAACTTATTACATTATAGCAGCCTCTGAAATGATCTCCCTGTATCTACTGCCAACATCCAGTTCATTCTTTACCTTGAAGTCCCAAGTATCTTTTAGACCAGGGGTCCCCGTGGCCTGTTAGGAACTGGGCTACACAGCAGGAGGTGAGCTACGGGCAAGTGAGTGAAGTTTCATCTGTATTTGCAGCCGCTCCCCATTGCTCGAATTACCTCCTGAGCGCCATCTCCTGTCAGATTAGCGGCAGCATTAGATTCTCATAGGAGTGTGAACCCTATTGTGAACTGCCTATGCGAGGGATCTAAGTTGTGAGCTTCTTAATGAGAATCTAATGTTCTGTCACTGCCTCCCATCTCACCCCCAGTGAGACTGTCGAACACCTTTTTATTACATTTACTGCTCGTCTATGAACAGCTGACAGTGGCCTGTATTCATCACTGTATCCTCAGCTTAACAAGGTGCATGGCTGGCATATAGCATTTGTTTTATTGAACTTCTCTTGGTCTGAATTTCTTCATTTTTGATATGGTAGTAATCCTCGCTTCTCAGTGTTATGTGGATCAAATAACACAATACATGTCAAAGTATTGTGGAAACTTTGAGCTATAGAAACACAGTTTTAAAACAGAATGAAAGAAATTCAAAATTAGGATTGGACCATTTCAAAACCATTGCCAAAGTATAAGCTTCATTAGAGAAAAGACTTTCTGCTTTATGCACTCCTGTATCACCTAGACCCTAGAACAGGTCCAATCAGTATTAATGGAAGGGAAGCAGTATATCATAAAACTAAAAGAACTGAGAAAGTGGAAAGTAGTCACAATTATATTTCAGATGCCAGTTCTTATAGCTATGCTCTGGGCTTTGTATCTCTTTATAATTGTTCATCTCCAAAATCAAAACCCCATGAACTTCTCTAAGTCTTAACAGCTTACTTTCATCACACCTGTTCTTCAACAGCATGTCTAGGTAAATAGCATCCGTCACTTCGTTGTCCATAAATCAGTCTTTGATAATACAGGTTGCTTTTTATCAGGTAGGCCAAAAGAGAAAAAAATAATAATACAGGTTACATGTCAAACATTCTCGCTCTCATCCTAAATTTCCTTGTACCATTGTGTCTTGGTGCTTGCACCTGGCAAAATTTAAACTCGGGTACATCCAACTATCCATTCTAGTAGGAGGGGAAGGTGAAGGATGAGTGTGGATGGAGGTTAGTTTGTATGTTTGAAGGAAGTGATTAGTAGTTTTAGTCTTTTTTAACTCCTAAATAGTACTGGAGAAAATCACAAATAGTATGTTGCCATTAAAAAGTCATCATTAATCTTAACCATGCTTTCAACATTCCTCTGCCATCCTACCATATTTTGCCACACCTTTTATTTCAGCCTTTCTCTTCTCCATTTTAACTTCTGTCTGAGCTCCTTCCCTCGAGGGAATGCCTTCCTGCCTTCAAATCCGGGGACCTACCTGATTTAAAACTCAAATTGGGAAGGGTGCTGCTTTCCAAGACCAAATTCCTTTGTAAAGGCCTTCTCTATCTTGAGCATTTACCTTTCCTCTGGCTCCATCCCATTAACATTTAAATATGCTCTTCCTTTCTTTTTAGGAGGAAAAACCCCTACTTTTCTCTGTGTTGCCTTGTATCCATTTCTTTTTCTTTTTGCTCTATCTCTTGACCCCACCTCAAACTAATTTCTACCCCCCCCAAGACAGTAACCCCTTTTATGTTAAAATTAGTGGAAAGAATGTTAATATAATGTCCTAACTTTAACATAAAGAAGAATAAAAAGGAAATTTGTAAGTACTTCCACGGCTGTCATCTGTGCTGTGCCAATCAGGCGCTGCATGGTGATTCCAAGAGCACCACTTTACATTACAAATATAGTGCATTGCAAATATAGAGGCCCCATGTTTAGAAATGCTTAGATAATACTCCACTCAGAAAAGAAACTGATGCTTGCACCTTTACATAGAAGCACTGTGAATCCAACAGCCTCATTTGTAGACTGATACACGTATTCGTGATGCAAATATTATGAACAGCTTTGCCGAAGTAGGAGGATTTTCTAAAATAATAAAGGATGACATTCCTTTGTTTTATGATAGTTACACTTCCGGAAAATTCAGTATGGACAGTCTCTGACTTAGGATTTTTCAACTTTACGATGGTATGAAAGCAATATCCATTCAGTAGAAACTGTACTTGGAGTTTTGCATTTTGGTCTTTTTCTGGCCTAGTGATAATGTGGTACAGTACACTTTTGTGATGCTGGGCAGTGGCAGTGAGCCACAGCTCCCAGTCACCCATGTGATCACGAGGGTAAACAACCCATTCTCTGCATTATACTGTGTTGCCAGCTTTTTTGGATATTGTGTTTTGTGTTTTCACATTCCATCATGTCTACAAAATGTCCATCAGTGTCTCCTGTTCCTGGTGAGACGAAGAAGAGGAAGGCAATTACTCTTGAAATGAAACTCAAGATAATTGCCCAGCAAGAAGGTGGCAAGCCAGTAATGGCCATTGCACGTGAGTTAGGACTTTCGCAATCCACAATTTCAACCATCTTAAAGGATAAGAAATGAATCCGTGATGCAGCGAAATCGTCAGCATCAATTAAATCTACTGTTATCACAAAGAAAAGAGCTGGGCTGATTGATGATATGGAAAAATTACTTGTTATATGGATGGAAGACCAGCTACAGAAGCATATACCACTTAGTGTACTGATGATCCAGGCTAAGGCAAGAAGTCTTTTTAATATGCTAAAAGACCGTGCCAGTGATCCTACATATACACAAATGTTTAAAGCAAGTCATGGATGGTTCCAGCGCTTCAAAAGATGTCATAATTTTCACAGTGTGAAGGTCAGTGGTGAGGCAGCACATGCTGGCAATGAAGGTGCTGTAGCTTTTAAGAAACAGGTACATAGAATAATTGTGGCTGAAGATCTTTGCAATAAGGAGCTTATTGAACTGGAGGAAGAAAGAAGTAAAGGAATTAAGGCAGTGGAAGAAGTGAAACCCACGGCACCTAGAAAGTTCACAGCAAAGAAACTGGCAGAGGCATTTGCTGCTATCAGCAGTGGCCTGCAGATGTTAGAAGGAATGGATGTCAATTACGAGAGATTCGCTACAGCTGACAGGCAGATACAGGATGCTCTTGCTTGCTACAGAGAGATATATAATGAAAAGAAGAAACAAGCTGTACAGTCAAAACTTGGTATCTTCCTGAAGAACAACACTATGCTTGCTAAACCATCAACTAATGTTGATGTCTCAATGCCTTCCACCACCTATTCTCGATGTTCATCAGAAGAGAGGGAAATTGAGGACCCTATTGCTATAGCATCCCCATCATCCAGCAATTAATGCTATTTCAGTGCTTCAAACATTTTTCAGGACCACTGTGCTTTCAAGCTGTGTACAATAATGGTAAGTACCCAAACATTCTGTTTTCTGCTACAGGAGCTACTCAACACTTTATTATAAAATAGCCTGTGTTAGATAATTTTCGTCCAGCTGTAGGCTAACATAAGTGTTCTGAGCACATTTAAGGTAGGCTAGGCTAAGTCATGTTCTATACGTCTATTAAATGCATTTTTGGCTTATGATATTTTCAATTAATTGGGTTACTTGGGATATAACCCCATGGTAAGTTGAGGAGCACCTGTACATGGTAAAACTATGCAAAAAATATTTTGTGTTCTTATGTGAAATGATGTTGGGGAGTTTTCATCTCAGATATTAAGTTCTTCAGCTGCACTAATGTCCAGTGGGACAACTCTTCATTTTGTAAGATTTTTAGCATCCTTGCTCAGGCTTAGTAAATGTCAGTAGTGCACCTCACTCCAGGCCTGTTAATGTGACAGTAATGAGGGTAACTTCTTTGATACCATCTCCCTTGAGAACCACTGCATTGTGAAAACACAGATTAGCACTGTTTTCCAGGAAAGGGGTGAGTTACTTTTGGTTTCTTTAAATCTTTTAGGCATCTTGCTGAAACAGAACATTTCCATAAGACTAAGGGAAAACTAAGGAATAGTTTTTGAACTTGATGCAACTGTTTACCTCAAGATGCGAAATGATCTAAACTGCTTCATGTGGTTGCTTGAATTTTTTCTAGTACACTGGTGGTGGGGCAGGTGTTGGAAAGAGGGTACAGGCATAAGATCCAAGTTATGTTTTGCCTTTTTTCTGGATGACCTCATTCAGTTAAGTGTATAGTCAAAATGTTCCTCTGATAAGCCTAAGTTGTTACTGCTGGATAATGATAACTGCTTTCCTTTCCCTTAAGATGCCCTTCAAATCCTTGGTTATGGAATATTTGGCTCATCCCAGTGCACTCAGCTTGGCTGTTGGAGTTGCCTGTGGCATATGCCTGGGCTGGAGCCTCCGAGTACGCTTTGGGATGCTCCCCAAAAGCAGGATGAGCAAGACACACACAGAGACTGAAACTGAAGCAAGCATCTTGGGAGAAAGTGGGGAGTACAAGATGATTCTTGTGGTTCGAAATGACTTAAAGATGGGAAAAGGGAAAGTGGCTGCCCAGTGCTCTCATGCCGCTGTTTCAGCCTACAAGCAGATTCAAAGAAGAAATCCTGAAGTGCTCAAACAGTGGGAATACTGTGGCCAGCCCAAGGTGGTGGTCAAAGCTCCTGATGAAGAAACCCTGATTGCATTATTGACCCATGCGAAAATGCTGGGACTGACTGTAAGTTTAATCCAAGATGCTGGACGTACTCAAATTGCACCAGGCTCTCAAACTGTACTAGGAATTGGGCCAGGACCAGCAGACCTAATTGACAAAGTCACTGGTCACCTAAAACTTTACTAGGTGGACGTTGATATGACAGCCCCTCTATCACAGGTGTTTGAAGCCTGTCAAATTCTGACAAAAGCTGAATTTCTTCTTCCAACTTAAAAATGTTCTTGAGATGAAAATAAAACCTATTCCCATGTTCTGTGCTTGGCAGTTAGAGTTGTCATCTTGAGCTTAAAAACAGTACTATTGGTTAAGTGGTCTTGGTGGTTCAAGTGACAGGCTGAAACAGATACTTAAGATGAGAGAAACAGGTCATGATATAATTGGATTAAAAGGGAGAAAACCGTGGTAGCCCTTCCCCAAGACTATGCTGTCCCACTGAAGGTTGAGGTTCAAGGGTATTCCCACTGGAGGCAAGCTGCAGTTTGTTCCCCTGCTGTTGCTTCTTGGATGATTGATAGCCTACTTTATTAATAGATCATGGCCATCCTCAGTGAAGTCCAATGGTTTATAACCTGTTTGAATTTTTGTCTCAAGGTTGAGGTTTTTATAGCATTGATACACTGTGCAGTGTTTCATGTTCACCTTCCCTGACACATACTGGCTAAAGGTTATCAGCAGTCATTCTAAATCGCAGCCTATTGAAAATTCTCACTTCCCCCTTCCTTAACAGTGAAGCCATTGATCCTTCTGGAGTAACCTTATGGACCTTACAGATGGAAATGGGTGGGCCCAGGTAAGAATTTATGGTAACTGTAAAGTGAATGTAGTTTGTCATCCCTGCTAGTTTTTTGCCTAGAACTTAAAGAATCAGACAATTAAGGGTGCCTTTTTTCCCCTTAATCTTTAGATACAGTTGTACAATCTTCATTACAATATTGTAACAGTTACCCAGAATATGAGGCAGAGGGTCCCAACTTCCCAAGCCACATAGCTTCCTGATTGTCATCTTGTTAGAGACTGTTTTTCTTTTCATTAGAGACGGGGTTTCACCCTGTTGATCAGGCTGGTCTCGAACTTCTGACCTCCTGATCCGCCTGCCTCAGCCTCCCAAAGTGCTGGGAGCTGTAATCCAAAGTGGGATTACAGGCGTGAGCCACTGCTCCCGGCCTGAAACTGTTTTTCTTTAAAGCCTTCTTTTAGGAGGATACTGACAGTAGTTTCTAAAATCAGTATATCCCTGAGAACTATAATGATGCCAGGGAGAATTTTGGTAATGGGCCCATTTTAAGTGGCTCCAACTCTCTATCATTAACTACAATATAAGCAGCATTATAACACAATCTCAAGGTCTAAGGTCATTAGTGGAATACTGTGGGCAGAACACTAAAGACAGTCTTGAAAATTCTAATATTTGATCCATTTTATACACTTCACACAGGCATATAACAGCATAGAAGAAATTCTAACTGTGATTGATGCCACAATAGCAACTATTTCTAAACAAACAGAATGTTTACTGGCTCCAAAAGTGATGCAACAAAATGCAACAGTTACAACTGAGTTGAACCCAATGCTAATTGCATGATTCTGGCTCAGGTAATTTCTGAGGTTTGCCTCAGATAGACTGATGGCTCCAAATTCAATGTTGCCATTCCTAACAGGATGGCATGGGGTGGCTAAGTAACTGTGATCAATCATGGCATATCTACTAAGAGAAATACTATGAAAATTCTGGTAATTGTGGATATGTGCTTGTTTCTAGTTTCTCTGTACTTAGTATTTTATAGGACTCATAATCATAGTTCTCAAAGTATACTCTGCAGAACCCATGGAGTCTCCACAGAGTCAAAAATGTTTTCATAATTCTATTCTTTTTCCCTGTGTTGATATTTGCACTGATGGTACAAAAGCAGTGGTGGGGAAAACTGATGGCACCTCCCACAAAGCAAAGCAGGGGTACCATTGTATTCTTCACCAACATGCACTTTAACAGTTTCACTTAATGTCCAGAATGAAACTAAACAGGGTGACAGACTCTCATTCTGTCACCTAGGCTGGAGTGTAGTGGCGTGATCTCGGTTCACTGCAACCTTTGCCTCCCAGGTTCAAATGATTCTCATGCCTCAGCCTCTTGCCTCCTGAGTTATAGCAGGGATCTTTTTTTTTTTGAGACGGAGTTTCGCTCTTGTTGCCCAGGCTGGAGTGCAGTGGTGCAATCTTGGCTAACCACAACCTCCACCTCCTGGGTTCAAGTGATTCTCCTGCCTCAGCCTCCCAAGTAGCTAGGATTACAGGCATGCGCCACCATGCCCAGATAATTTTGTATTTTTAGTAGAGACAGGGTTTCTCCATGTTGGTCAGGCTGGTCTTGAATTCCCGACCTTAGGTGATCCACCCGCCTTGGCCTTCCGAAGTGCTGGGATCACAGGTATGAGCCACTGTACCTGGCCACAGCTGGGTGTGCACCACCACTGCCTGTTTGATTTTTGTATTTTTAGTAGAGATGGGGTTTCACCATGTTAGGTCTCCCAAAGTGCTGGGATTACAGGCTGATTACCGCACCGGGTGGAATTTAAGTTTTTAAACAGGGATTTTAAGTTTTTAAAAACTTCTGTGGAGCTTATGGTAGGTAATTTGCCTAAGAGAGTTGTAAAGCAATGCAAGACTCAGCAAGGGGCTATGTGTAACGATTGAGAATTAAGGGGTAGTGAAATGAACTTTAAGAACATTCTCAGTCATAAGCAAGAGCTGGATTCACACAACCAATTTTTCAAAAGATCAACTTGGGCACCTTTATAATTCATTATGAGAAAAAGCATATTAACTACATGTTTAAATATATTTTATTTCAAGTTAATATAACAGCCATGGTTTGTTCATTTAAGTGAAATGCTTAGATAAAAACCTCAAGTGTTGCTTGGTTAAAATACTGGAGATAGATTAAATGTCACCCACTATAGTAGCGACTGGTTCTTTAGACTATTGCATGTACCTTATTAATGAACTACAGGAATGCACATTGACAGAATTCACAATGTCTTCACATGTCTTCTCATTCTTCTTCCTTTCATGCCTCCCTGTAATGCCTTAATATTCAATATAAAACTACAAAAACTACTATTATTTTGGTTTGAGTGGTATTTAATTAAAACTTCAATTCTATGTTATTTCCACAGTCCAGTAATTTATTTTAAATTTGAATAATTTCAAATTCCACAAACAAAACTGAAGAACAGCAATATTTTGTTTGAATTTCTCTCTTCTGTACACTCAGTGATCTAAAACACCACAATATCCAACATACACAAACCTCAGGGAAGGGTTAGTAAACACACACAAGATTGGAATCATGGTGCTCTTTGCTCCTGAATGGAATGGTCCCACAGAAAAAGCACAGGATACAGCACAACATAAGGGCACCTGTTACATATGAAGTGAGCAAAACATACTAGCATTTTCTATATGCATAATGGGGAAACCTGCATAGGTTAGAGGGCCTTTTTAGAGGGCCTTTTATGCTCATTTAAAAATCAGGCAAGTTGTCTGTAACATTTTTCAAATTATCTGGAGAGCACTGCAATCCAATGTAGGATATGCTGATTAGTGTTGTCTTTGTTGGCACTGACAGTCTTGCATGGTCATATGCCAGTATTTTTGCTTTAGCTTTTCTCTGAATAAAACAGATTTAAATGCATTTAGACAATACATATTTGTAAGCTGTTTACATACACTAAATTTAAGAGATTCAGTATTAGAGTTTCTTTGTTTCTTTAAACACTACAGAGTGCAAATCGGGTTCTTCACAACAGATCGAATATTAAGCAGTTCTTTAAAGAATGAGGGGGAAGAAAAAAAGCCCAAGTGAATAAAACATTGAAACTATTCCCATTCGAAAATAAATTCTAAAATGATGTGGAATGTGAAATAAGGTTTTAACATAGGTGATCCAAGTTTATAGTCAGAAACAAAAAAGGAGTCCTTCATGAAGTAAAGGTTACAAGAACACGTTGCCTGTTTCCCCCATTATAAACAGAAGTGGGTAGAGACGATGTTTCAGTACGAAAATAGGTGACTACAGGATCAGCTTTTCATCTTACATGCTGTACCCAAAGCCAGGCTGTGGCTGTCCATACGGTGGTGCAGTATAACCATAACCAAAAGGTGCCTGGGGAGGGACGGCAACACTGGGTCCTGCTGTCAGCATCAACTGGGGCTGACCTAAAGTAGAAGAAAACAAAACGGAGCAGAGGGCAGGGGCAAGGAGGCAGGACAAATCGTTAGCATTTAAAACACTGCAGTCTCCTTCACTCTAGCAACATAATCTCAGCCTCGAATTCAAATGAGTTATATGGGGGTCATATTTGATTGTCACAATTTTGACATGACAGCCTTACTCTAAGAAAGTTCCTACCTAAAAGGCCAACAAACAGCGCAGGGCCAAAGGCCAGAACTACTTATGATTGAACACAATATGCCTGATGCTCTATGCTTGACACATACCTAACATGCACATTATATTTCATGACACAATAAAATCAGCACAAGAAAAGTTTTTTAAATGAAATTTTTTGTCTTTTAAAGACAGAATCTTGCCCTGTTGCCCAGGATGGCGTACAGTGTGCAGTCTCAGCTCACTGCAACCTATGCTGCCTGGGTTCAAGCAATTCTCGTGCCTCAGCCTCCCAAGTAGCTGGAATTACAGGTGTGCACCAGTATGCCCAGCTAATTTTTGTATTTTTAATAGAAATGGAGTTTTTGCCACATTGGCCAGGCTGGTCTCAAACTCCTGGCTTAAGTATCAGCCCACCTTGGCCTCCCAAAGTGCTAGGATTATAGGCATGAGCCACCATGCTTGGCTTAACTGATGTTTTTAACATACCTGAACTTTTAGAGTTAAATTTCTGATTTTAACATGTCTAAATGGCATTGAAACTGAAATCATTTCTAGAAGCTCCAGTACCAATTTAGAGACAGCAATTAAAAATAAGACACATCCGGGACGGGCGCAGTGGCTCACGCCTATAATCCCAGCACTTTGGGAGGCCAAGGAGGATGGATCACGAGGTCAGGAGCTCAACACCAGCCTGGCCAACGTGGTGAAACCCTGTCTCTACTAAAAATACAAAAAAATAATGAGCTGGGCATGGTGGTGTGGGCCTGTAATCCCAGCTACTCAGGAGGCTGAGGCAGAAGAATTGCTTGAACCTGGGAGGCGGAGGTTGCAGTGAGCTGAGATCACACCACTGCACCCCAGCTTGGGTGACTCCATGGGTGAGGGGAGGGGGAGCACATTCAGATATTCTTTAGGTATGAAATATATTAGAACATACACCCTCTATCAAATAATATGTTGACCCTCTTTCTTAATAAGTTTA